AAGCTAGCTCAGCTACATGTAAACAGACTGACGCTCTGCTCGGTCTGCGCTGCTCTGTCGCCCCCTGCCGGCCGGGAGGAGGCACAGCGGCCACCTGAGGAACTGCAGCTCTCAAACACACACTGGAAAATAAATCACAGCCAACACTAATGTACTTATATAAAGATAAAAAATGACTTTTCTCTTCATACCGAGAGAGTACAGCTTCAGGTCAGTGAGCAGGAAGAGAAACACACACACACACACACACACACACACACACACACACACACACACACACACACACACACACTCACTGTGCCACTAATGTGTTTTCAATGAGGATTTTAACAAACACACAGATGTGGTTGAAATAAATATCTGTCACCTGATCTGTTTCCACTGTTTGTACAGTAAGAAGTGTTTCCAAAGGCCTGTAACACACACACACACACACACACACACACACACACATACACATACACACACACACACACACACACACACACACACACACACACACACACACACACACTATAAACGGAGTATCTGTTATTGATTTGAGTCTCTTTTCACATTAAAATGTGTTTTTCATTCTGGTTGGAAAAAGTTCTGCTGTTTGATAAATAAATAAACAACATGGACAAAAGTATGTGGACAACAGAACATAAACAACATCATGTTAGTTCATCACAAATCCTGCACCAACACACACACTACATTAAAAACAATACATCCTCCCAGCAGGGTTTAAATCATTACACTTAATCAACATCCATATGAATGTGTGTAAAGTTTGTCCTGTTGTCGGAGGTGTGACAGTGTCTGTGTGGAGCTGATGTAGAGACTGTGACCTTCCTCACCTCAGAAATTTATTTACAACCCCCAAAGCATTATGGGATCTTAACATTGAAGATATCCTGTTAATGCTTTTGTGATATTTCTCTAATTTTAGCTTTTTTCTAAACTAAATAACTAAAATATATTTATGTTTTTATGAGTAACATACAGGAAGTACAAACTGAATTAAATAAGCCTGTGAGGTACAAATCAATATTAAATGACCTTTTATTAAATATTTTGCTCTTTTCAGACCAGCAGCAGCTGAAGAGTCCCAAGAATTGAGCCCTGAGGAACTCCAACATTTAGACTCAGACACCCAGACAGATGATAATACTCTGATGTGTAAACTGGGTCCAGTGTTTGTCTGGTTCCAGCAGCAGGAGCTCAGCTGCTGTTTTAATGGATTCACCACATGTTGGTTGAGTTTCCTCTGAATGGAAACTCAGACAGACGGACAGACGGAGAGGATCTCATTACAGCTGCTGGTCTCAGAGGAGTTTGAACTTCCTGTGGTCTAAATCGGGTTCAGGAAGTCGTGCTGTCTGAGCGGCTCGGCTCCCACAGATCATCTTTATATTCTTCATAATGTGAAAGAACCGGTGTCAGCAGACTGAGGGTCAGCGTGAGGTCGGGGTCTCTGTGGAGAACGGGTCCTGCTGTGGAGGTCTTATAGGATCCAGTGTTTTATACTTTAATCCAGCGGTTCCCAACATTTTTCCTTCAGGGACCCGTTCCCCGTCACAGAGTAACCTGACTGGATTCAACAAACACAGAACAGCTGATAAACTGACTGAATGAGCAGTTCAGTGTTTCTCTCTGATGATCATTTATCGTTATAATACAGTTTGAGTTGAATCCAATCCAACTTTATTTGTTAAGCACTTTAAAAACAACCAAAGTTGACCAAAGTGCTGTACAGGAGAATAAATAAGACATCATGAATGTAAACAGTGATGATGATGATGATGAAGACCACAATGAGGAATATAGACAGTGATGGTGATAACACTGTCTATATTCCTCACTGTAATGTGAAGTTATTTTAACTAAAAATTGTTGACAGTTTGCATCAAAGTTGAAGTTACACAAACTAAATTTTGTAAGTTAAAAACATTCTAGATTTTTTTTTTTTTTTTTTTTACAATTTTTTCCCCAAAACAAATAAAAATGTCAAAAACAGAAATCAGTGTCACTTACAATCAATAATGTGTTTAACTTACTTATTGAGTTAGTTTTACTTTAGTTAAATTAACTCTGGGTTTACAGTGTGATCTAAACTTTAAAAATAACATTTCATTTAGTTTTATATATTGTTTATATAAACACAATGCTGAGATATTGACCTCCAGTGTGAATCTGTTCCAGTACGCCTGACATCATGTTCTTTCTTCCTTCGTTCAGAAATTAATAGAAAGACTTTCTGAGAACGACAAAGAACAACATTTCTTTAAGATAACCCATCAGACTGTCGGGGTCCGCCACTGAAAACACCCACATACTCTACAGCGACCCACAGTGACGGGTACTGATCCAGGTTCAGCTGCGTCACAAAGAAACACAAACACTGGTCTTATTATTTGGACTTTTATTAATAATATAAAGTTAGTTTCACACTGACGGAGCCGACAGGAGACTCGAGGGCTCGAACCCGCGACGTCTCCAACACGTTGACCATGCT